GCGCCCCCCCGGCCCCGGCAGATGTTGGGGCTGCCCCCGCCCCCCTTCCTCAACCCCCGCAGCCTCGAGAGGTGAGGACACGCCCCCGAGTGCTGATTGGCTGAGAGGAGGGAGCTACGGGCTGATTGGGTAACGGGGGGAGGGTCCTGCGTGCTGATTGGCTGAGCCAGAGGGAGCTGGAGGGTGATTGGATAATGGGGAGAGGGTCCTGGGTGCTGATTGGCTGAGGGGAGGGAGCTACGGGGTGATTGGGTAATGGGGTGGAGGGTCCTGGGTGCTGATTGGCTGACACAGGAAGGCCCCCAATGCTGATTGGCTGAGCCGGAGGGAGCTGGGGCGTGATTGGGTAACGGGGGGAAGGGCCTGGGTGCTGATTGGCTGACAGGAGGGAGCTGGAGGGTGATTGGATAATGGGGGGAGGGCCCTGGGTGCTGATTGGCTGAGCCAGAGGGAGCTGGGTGGTGATTGGATAATGGGGAGAGGGCCCTGCGTGTTGATTGGATGGTGGGAAAGGCCTTGGGTGCTGATTGGACAGAGGGGGGTAGGCCCTTGGTGCTGATTGACCAACCAGGAGGGCCCTTGGTGCTGATTGGCTGATGTGAGGAGGGCCCTGGGTGCTGACTGGCTGACAAGAGAAGGCCCCCAGTGCTGATTGGCTGAGTGGGAGGGAGCTGGTTGGTGATTGGGTAATACGGGGTGGGCCTGGGTGGTGATTGGACAGAAAGTAGAGGGCCCTGGATGGTGATTGGATAACGGGGGAAGGCCCTGGGTGCTGATTGGGCAGAGGATCCTGCAATGGGATTGGCTGTAAGAGTGTGGTGTAAACTCTGATTGGCTGAAAGTTTGAGGGGATCCTGAGCCCTGATTGGCCAGATGTGCTGGAGGGATTCTGTGCCCTGATTGGGCGGAGATCTGGGGGGTTCTTTGCCCTGATTGGCCAAAGGTCTGAGGGGATCCTGAGCCCTGATTGGCTGGCCGTGGGTCACGCGCTGTGATTGGCCAGAGGCGTGGGCGATTTCCCGTGCTGTGATTGGACGGAGGTTTTGGGGGAGGGCCCTGAGTGCTGATTGGGCAAAGGGGATCCCAGGCTCTGATTGGCTGAGCTCTTCCATCACCCTGATCTGATTGGCTGAGCTCACCCCGTGCCCTGCTCTGATTGGTCGCTCTCTCCCATTACTGTTCTCTGATTGGTCGATCTCTCCCGTTGCTGTTCTCTGATTGGTCGGTTTCTCCCATTGCTGTTCTCTGATTGGTCGATCTCTCCCATTGCTGCTCTCTGATTGGTCGGTTTCTCCCATTGCTGTTCTCTGATTGGTCGATCTCTCCCATTGCTGCTCTCTGATTGGTTGATCTCTCTCCGTGCTGTTCTCTGATTGGTCGATCTCTCCCGTTGCTGTTCTCTGATTGGTCGATCTCTCCCATTGCCGTTCTCTGATTGATCGATCTCTCCCCGTGCTGTTCTCTGATTGGTCGGTCTCTCCCATTGCCGTTCTCTGATTGGCCGATCAGTCCCCATTGCTGTTCTCTGATTGGTCGATCTCTTCCGTTGCTGTTCTCTGATTGGTCGATCTCTCCCCGTTGCTGTTCTCTGATTGGTCAATCTCTCCCATTGCTGTTCTCTGATTGGTCGATCTTTCTCGTGCTATTCTCTGATTGGTCGATCTCTCCCCAGTATCGAGATCGATCAGAAGCTGCAGGAAATCATGAAACAGACGGGATACCTGACCGTGGGGGGGCAGGTGAGTGACCA